GACACCTTCTCAGGCATGAAGGTCTAGTCAGAGACATATTAGAGGCAGAAACAGGAGTTAGGAGGGGTAGAGGTAGACCTAGATTAGATTACTCTTCGCAAACAGTTAAGGATGTGGGCTGTTCTAGTTTTAAGGAAATGCGAAGTTTAGCTCAGGATAGGAAAGAGTGGAGGTACGTGTCCAACCAGTCTTAGGACTGATGACCTTATAATGATGATGATGATGTTAGTGTAGCGGATTTCGATTAACGATAACTTATTGCTATGATTTTGTCACCGTGCAGACTTTTAGTGTTTATAGACATTAGAGGCTCATTTCAACGGTTTATATTGAACAATACGGCGAATAAAAATGATGAAAATCGTCAACCAAGAATTTCATTCATTTAGTGTTTAAACGACTTTTTGAACTTGGAAAAGTGAAGCTAGGGCTAAAACTTGACTTTATAGGCAAGGAGTTTATTAAAAAACAACCTTTTCTAGTATATGTTTTTATAAAGTTTTCTTTTATTCACTTAAAAAGTAATTAATTTTCTACTAAACCTAATTATTGCTTATTTTATTATTTTTTAATGAGATTAGGTACCGTTGACGATGAGAATGTTCTTTTTTTAGATAATTTTATTCCAAATATTTGTTTCTCTAGTAAATTTTGAGAAAAAACTGTTTATTTACATTTATTATCGCCGTAAAGATGTGTCGTAAAAACTAAAAGTAAACAAATTTTCCGTATTTATTAAAGGCCACAATTTGTATTATTGTATTTTTCAAAAAACTCTTACCTAATAAACATGTGTGATATTTTTATTGCAATAAGAACTATCGTTTGGTCTAGGTTATCGTAAGAGGGAAAAAAGATAATTCTCATAATATTTGTTATTTATTGGGACAGTGTATCACGTGAAGTCCACACCACTACTAATACATAAATAAAATAATTAGTTTGATTTATTCATAATCGTTATCAGCACGTTTTTGTTCCGGATTAATAGACAACAAGCAACGTTGGAAAATTAATTCATTATTTATACTTCTAATAAATGTTTTATTAAGACAATAATTTAGCATGATATTTTGTACATATTTATTAATAATGTAGTAAAAATACGCCATCTATAAAATAGAAAATAAACCTTGTGTTTAGACCTCTGTGTTGCAACCAAAATAAAAAAATACAATCTCATACGCACACTCCAAACTATTCCGACGGAATACATACCATTTGTACCTGGTTTATTACAAAGATTTATAAACTGCTGTAAAACAGTGTTATGAGCGTCATCAGTAGAAAATTGCTACGCTTTGCGGGACTCAAACATGTTTCACAAGTGTCCAAATGGAAATCAACTTGTCGAACCGTTTCCACGGCGTAGACATGTAGCGATGGACACATAGCAAAACACAACAAAAAGCTCCTATTGGTCAGTATTCCGTTGATCTCAATGGATCTCGTCTGTACACTCCAAATTGTTCCGACAAAATACATACCAACTGTACGTGCTTTATTACAGAGATTGGTAAATTTCTACAAAGGAGATTGTGAATGTCATCAGTAGAAAATTGCTACTTTTTGGGATATTCAAAAATGTTTCACAAGTGTTCAAATGGAAATCGTCTTGTGGAACCGATTCCACGGCGTAGACATGTAGCGATGGACACATAGCAAAACACAACAAAAAGCTCCTAGTGGTCAGTATTCCGTTGATCTCAATGGATCTCGTCTGTACACTCCAAATTGTTCCGACAAAATACATACCAACTGTACGTGCTTTATTACAGAGATTGGTAAATTTCTACAAAGGAGATTGTGAATGTCATCAGTAGAAAATTGCTACTTTTTGGGATATTCAAAAATGTTTCACAAGTGTTCAAATGGAAATCGTCTTGTGGAACCGATTCCACGGCGTAGACATGTAGCGATGGACACATAGCAAAACACAACAAAAAGCTCCTAGTGGTCAGTATTCCGTTGATCTCAATGGATCTCGTCTGTACACTCCAAATTGTTCCGACAAAATACATACCAACTGTACGTGCTTTATTACAGAGATTGGTAAATTTCTACAAAGGAGATTGTGAATGTCATCAGTAGAAAATTGCTACTTTTTGGGATATTCAAAAATGTTTCACAAGTGTTCAAATGGAAATCGTCTTGTGGAACCGATTCCACGGCGTAGACATGTAGCGATGGACACATAGCAAAACACAACAAAAAGCTCCTAGTGGTCAGTATTCCGTTGATCTCAATGGATCTCGTCTGTACACTCCAAATTGTTCCGACAAAATACATACCAACTGTACGTGCTTTATTACAGAGATTGGTAAATTTCTACAAAGGAGATTGTGAATGTCATCAGTAGAAAATTGCTACTTTTTGGGATATTCAAAAATGTTTCACAAGTGTTCAAATGGAAATCGTCTTGTGGAACCGATTCCACGGCGTAGACATGTAGCGATGGACACATAGCAAAACACAACAAAAAGCTCCTAGTGGTCAGT